AGTGTCTTCTACTGCACTTCACTTGCTCTTCATCACCTGCATGAGGAACAGGACACATTTCACAACTCTCTTGCTAACTACCATAAACTTACAGGTCTTGCTTTATTTTTGTTCCTCAACTGTGCTGGGAGCCAAGGATGTGTTTGGATTATTACAAGATTTCACAGCTTGCACACAGAGCAAGGTGCTTCTGTGAATGGAAGAATTGCATATATTTGTTGGCATTCAACGAGTCTTTAAAATCTTATTTTTGCAGATAAAAAAAGGCTACTTAAGAATTCAGTTCAGGGTTACCACTGGATGGAAATGCAGGTGTTGCCTCCATCACCTTGCCATTGAGGAACTGGTCAGTCTTGGTCATGAACAGGGCATTAGTACAAATAAACAACACTTAACAAAAACCTTTAGCACCCTTATGGATCCCACAATCCATAACTCTGAAACTAACTTGAAATTACCTCTGTTTCAGGCTGCAGAACTACTCATTAAAGTTAGCGTGGCAGCTAAAAAATACACTTAGAGATACAGAAATCGAAACATTTTTTAATGTGTGTGTTTTTGCTCCCACGTCAGGCGTGAGCTATTGGCCTGCTCTCCTATGACAGGGAACTCCTGCAGTTCCAGGGATGTTTTGGGCACATTCACAGGTTGCACACACGAGGTGACTCGCACGCAAACACACGCACACAAGCACACGTACGCACCTTTCCGAGGAGATAATAATCCATTATCCATTCAAGGAAAAAAATATATTTATATCACTGCAATGGCACCTTTAGTGTAAAATGTCACTTCAGCAATGTACATAGGCAGCTCACAGGAACTGGGTTTTTGCTGTGGCACCTGGCCTGGTGTCCATGGTAAGATGTGTAGTGCTCCGTCACCTGCATTCGTCCGAGATGCAGTAGTGACAGCCAGGGGGATGAGGAGAGAAAATAACAAAATATATAAATAAAACTGAAGGTAGGAAGAGAAAGCAGAAGGGGAGGAAAAAAAAGATCCAGAAGTCTGCAGGGCTTTGACACAGTACATTCCTCAAGTGACAACTGGGTGCTGAGTCTTAACAAGTTAGTTATCGCTCAGTGGAGAAAAACAACGGAGTGGGTGGCCCGGAAAAAAAATAAAAAAAGAAAGTAAAAGTCACGCTCTCTTCAGGGATTGATGACTGTTCAGCGTGTGTTTTCCAGAATCAGTGCTATGGAAGATGCAGCTGTGGATCCAGAAGGCTTCATGTGTAGTCTATGTTCCTCCATGGTCAATATGATCAACGGGATAGGCTATGAGGCCGTGAAAGCAAAATCCATTTCCCTGCATAAAAAGAGAACACAAATGTATGAAATCACATGCACCAGGATGGGCACACATTGCTGCCCGAATGCCAACTCCTGAATCTCACTGCAGAAGCCTTGCCCCATGAAGCCAGCCCCTCCATGGCTGCTGCAACTGCTGATCCAAAGCAAGGCAAAGAACCTGAACTCATCCCTGCCCTGCTAGGAAGCTCTGCAGTTCTCACATGGAAGGGTGGTTGGACTGCCAGCACAGGTGGTGGCCACACAATCCATGTGCTTGTGGGATGCTCCCCGAGACAATCACGTTGCTGAAAGGGTGGGAACCTTTGCCTTCCCTGCCCCTCTTCCTTCCCTCACACTATAACAAAGTCTTGCTGCCGTGGCATATCATATATAACAGACGTGTAATCTATAAATCTGTATCTATATATTCACATGTGCCACCTTTTCTTTTCATCTGCTCTCAAATCACATTCCAGTGAGTGCCCCTCACTGACCATATTTTATCACAGGGAACACAACCGTCAGTGGCAGTGCTGAAAACCCAACATCTGAGCTGCCTTCACAGTTTTCATTCTATAGGGACACAGTTTTTCATTTTGTGTGGAAAATATTGCACTGTTTTGAATTACCATTTCTAAACTCCAAGCCAGCACTTTTACAGACTGGCCAGAAAACTGGGTGTATTTTGGTTCTAGATACAAAGATTATCTCAACAGAATGCAACAGATTTACAGAGAGGAAGCTTGAAGTATGCTGCCTTCACAGTTTTCATTCTATAGGGACACAGTTTTTCATTTTGTGTGGAAAATATTGCACTGTTTTGAATTACCATTTCTAAACTCCAAGCCAGCACTTTTACAGACTGGCCAGAAAACTGGGTGTATTTTGGTTCTAGATACAAAGATTATCTCAACAGAATGCAACAGATTTACAGAGAGGAAGCTTGAAGTATCTCTGAAGACAAAAA